CGCGTGAGCAATGAGCGTGTTCGACTTCGTGTATTTGGTGCGGGAAGAGCGAGTGAACCGCTCAGCACCGTTATATCATGCACCAGGCTCCGATGGCTGGGCCACGTGTTGTGCATGCCAGCACACCGACTCCCGCGACGTGCATTGTTTGCGCGTTGTGGGTGCGGTTGGAAGAGGAGGAGGGGAGGCCAAGTGATGACTTGGTCTAGAGAAATGAAAACCCTCACTTCGAAGTTGGCGTCGGTTGGTGCATCCCGACTGCCTGGTTGGGGTCCTAAGGACGGTGAACACGTTTGGTTGGACACACTTGCTGATATGGCTCGGAGCCGGCATCAATGGCGTCTGTGTTGTGAGTTCCTTTGTCCATCCCCCTCCTGTTTAGCATCCTCCTCCAATCACGATCTCACTTGATAGGCATAATACGAGTTTCTTTTACGGCAGCCAGCTGTTAGCTCTCCGGAACGATGTCCATCCGTTACTGGGGACTCAGCGGGCGTGCCACTGTTTGCCACTGTTTTCCTTTCCTTTTTTTTATTGCGGCACAATAGCTGAGGTGTTTTCCACCTCCAGCTAACGTGTAATGATGATGATGATGCCAATGTATTGTTGTCTCGTTACTGGGGTCGTCGACTGTTACGTGAATCAATCGTTTTCGTGTCTCAACCATCCACTGAGATTCGATGGGTTGGCATCTTCCGTCGTCTCCAGAGCTACTCCTAACGTACAAGTCGGTTTTACATGTTCGACCGTCTCATTCCCAGCATTTCCTTTGGAGGTTTTTATGAGTACATAGATCTACTTCGTTCAGAACGCAGCCATGAAAAGCAACGTTTAACAGCTGTATGCTCAACCCGATTGAGCTTAGAGCATAGGCGCTGTGGGTTGTCTGATAGTGGGAGAGCACCACTTTTTCCTGATTGCTTTGCCGACTCACACCTCGTCATGCTGCTCATGGTCAAAGACTTGCGAATCTGCCGAAATTCACTTGCTGTTAAATTCATTCACCGTGAATCCCATGAAGCAGTCGAAAACATGAGTTTTCTTAAAGCTTCAAGGCTTCTAACTGATCCTGCTGAAATCGAAGTGGGTGGGTCGATGAACGGTTGGAATGGTCTCAATTGTGTCAACAGTGTAGCCGAACCTGATTGTCAGTTCACCCTAGGACATTGGCACTCTAGGTGGATTTCTTAGACGTTATTTGATTTGATTCAGTTTCGCACTGTCCACGGGCCCTGAAACAGTTTCTGGCTGCCTGTTCTATAGTTAATTTGGGGCGTTACTGAGTTGTAACGGCCTGCCATGAGATAAAACAGTACAACAAAACAGTACAGAACACTGTACCAACTCATCTGGTGCACTTGTACGAGAGGCTTTCTCCTAGTGCGAGAATAGCCATAATAGATTGGCTGTTTGTTCGTGCTTACCTGCATCATCGACTAACTCGATTGTATGCATTTTGAAGAGCAGGCCTAGTGTGATAATATTACTTGCTGATTCTGCTTAACTTGCCTCTGACATCACTGTCGCACTCACCTTAAAAGGGATTCGATGTGGAACTTCTTCTACTGAGACGAAACAAGACGCATAGACCACGCTATGCTATATGAAGTACTGGCGGTTTTCAGCCGTCATATAACTTCTTGAAAATATCACACTGCAGCGGCCCATTATTCATCGCGCCTGCTGGATCAATTACTTCCATACTATCTTCCACTTTGGTTGGGAACATTTATACCCACCTTAACTATGGGAACTATAACCTACATTCAGGCGGTCCACCATTGGTGTTTCCTTTCAATTTAATGCCATCTCCTGTTCAGTTGATCGTACCAGTTTGTGTCATCGTCTATCGTTGGAGATTACGCCAAGGGGACTTCCTTATCCGACTCCCGAGATCTGGTAGAAGTCAACAGAGGCTGTCTGCCGAATTCTGCACAACAAATACAATGCACCGAAATTGCTGAATATTTTATTTACCTTTCACCCCGGTAGTAGAAATTATCACAGGTACTTTTTTAGTTAAAGTTCCGTAGGGCAACTGACTGACAGACCTGAAGTACCCGGACAACATAGCTCATGGGATGGGGCGCAGCCTCTGTGCGGTCATTTCTGACTGACATATTCTTCACACCATGTGTGTACAAGATCCTGTTTCAGAGCTGGATCGACCAACCACTGGTGATGGTCGGTCAACCCATTCACCTAGATAGTTGTCTCACATCTAGAGTTCAACTTTGAAGTTAACACACCTGTCACCAAGACCCTTGTAACTTCCCAGTCTCAGTGACCTGCGGATACATGAGATACTATCTTATATGGCGCTCCTAGCGTTAGTGTATTGATAAGTAGCATGAACACTTCGGTTTAAAAGCACTAGGAATATGAGTACACCGAACCACCTGCGCCTCTGGTGTATTTTTCTTGCTTGTTGGACGCACCGAGTAAACAGTTGTCAAGTTCACCAGTTGGTATTTTGGAAGAATAGAATATAGGATAGTTTATAGAATAGAATAGAATATCTTTTAACTTTGAACCACTCACGTTATTTAGACCATATCCTTCGTGGGTACCTTGACCGCCCATCGCATCGTGCAATTTTTTCTTTGCTGCACGCATTTATACAAGACCTCGTAGTTGCTCGTCAAATAGCGTGGAGAAATTGGTCGAGGCTTGGTAAAGCTAGTAAATTCGTCTCTGAGGTGGATCGTCTCAGTGGTCGCAGACCTTATCCTCCATGTTTTAGTCGCGGGATTAACTGTGCTTCTGCGTTCCGCTGTAAATATTTCCCCAATCTACTCGATTCTCTATTCCTTTATTGCACTTCTGTTTGTATTCTTTTCCTTCTTTCGGAATTACTGCTGTCCATCGAGTTACGTTATGACGACCACATTCACCTCTGTACCGCCCGTTTTGATGGTGATGGTTGATGACTGTTTAACTCCCCTCAGCTCACACCTACTTGTAAATTTATTGCGTAATGGCTCAGTCGGCCAGCAATACCCTGGTTGTTTGTCAATTCACTTGAACTATCTTATGTTGTCTGTGTCCCGAGTCTCAGCATCGATAGGATATCAGACGAAGTGGGCTCTTTCATGACTATTATATGACTGGAAAAATGTGTGATTACGTGGTTATTCAGTCCATCTCTGTATGTAGGCGGGTCGGATTCGCCATTTGCACTGCGCGTCATCCCCTATCCTACTCTCTGTACACTCGCTGATGTTCGCTGGACACGATGTCAAGGTGGCCAACTCCACTTGATTCCGCCCGGTTAGGAGACTCACCGTCAACGAGAGCCTCTATTTTTAAGCACTTCCACGCGACGTGAATTCGTAATCAATTGTAGACACTTTTCGTAGCTCTCATTTTTTTGTTTTTTTATTCACGTGTTGTGGCGGTTTGCTATCCGACTAGCAAAAGACATGAAATACTGCACTGTTTTCAGCCGAGGCATCAACAGTGGGTTAAGGATAGTGAGAGGGTCACCCGGTCCACTGTGCAGACTCGAACCGGGGACATCCGGGTTGCAAGGTAGGCACCTTGTACTCTCGCTCACTGGTCGGCTTTCAATCAAGGAGTATATCGTGTGAACCCTTCTATTTTTCAAAAATTTCCTTTCCGGATCAGTGATTATACCCTCGAATATACAAAATAAAAGCTTCTCATTAAGCGGTGACGGGCACACGTGCCACTGTCGAAGATAACGCAACATATCTATTCGTACTTGTTAACCAAACAAACAGACTTGATCGCTATCGTTCAGTGCTCACCTCAACATGGCATCTTTACGGAGATGCTCGTCTGACCGCACACGAGTGACTCAGTTGGCCGGGGTGGTTAAAGACCTGATGAGCCTATCTGCTCTTCGAAAGGACCAAGTTTCACTGCTGTCAAGGAAAGTTTCCTTCACTTTGGCCTTCCATGCATGACCACTGTTGGTCCCTTTTTTAGCGGCGGTGTCACAGTCTAACAAGCACAGTTCTAACTTTCACAATGTGTAAACTAATTACCTCTGCTGTCAAATTTGGTTAATTGTTATCAATCTGGTACAAGCTATTGCACTCTATTTCGCTTTTCGATCATATTTTGTTAGTTGTACCAAATCATAAGTCTCGTCGTATCTGTTTCCTTTTTTGTCATTGGCGCATGATTTTGCATCTCAACTTAACCTTCTGTACAAATCACTAACATAATCTGTTGTGGTAACTGGACCACCATTTAGGGGTCTTTCTGAAGCAGACAGATGTTTGCTGTTACCCACTTTTAACACCGCGCTCCACGAGCGGTTTCGTCCTCGTTTGAACTCGTTACCTAGTCATAATCTGACCGAGACATATTGATGAACGGTGGACACCTTTACCTGTGCACCACTGACGTGTTCATATGTTGGTCATCGCAACGCCTAGTTAGGCTACTTGTGTGCAAACGGTTTGCGACGCTGCTTAATCTGCTGCTTTCTGTGATTGGGATCTCTGCCAGATCGGTCACTGGAATCGTGCCTGAAGCAGACAACCGTTGGGCTTTGCCCATTCCCATAAAAAATCACTCCCAACGCTGCAACGATGTGTCGACAACGTAGGTCTGAAGTAGCTTCGAGGAGTTTTCCAGTTTGTAGACTTAGCGGTTGACACTGGTTATGTGGTTAGTGCATACTTCAGCCACTATTTTATGAACTGAAATCATTGCACTTCTTTCTTTCCTTTCGTCACTTTGCACTTCTTTCAGGTTTCCTTAAGCGCAGTCCTTACTTTAGACTGTGTCATCTCTGAGGTCTGTTAGACACCAAGCTTAGCCTGTTGTGCACGCGCACACGTGTTACATATTACCTACTTTCAGTCTTGACATGTCACATGCTTATCATGTGAACCTCCTAACAGGTCTCAAGTTTAATTTGCTTAATATCCGCACTTTTTTCTACTATGCTTGGTCACAACCCCTTTTATTTTTGTTCTTCCTCTTTCGAATTTACATCAGTATTTTCACATCTTCTTTCTCATCAGGCGTTTCACGGATCGTTCTTCGTACGTTCGACGGACCTCATGTCTCTTCCAAATGTGAACCCGGATGCCGGTTTCGCTGTGCAGTTAGGAATTTCGGAAAGTGTGGAAAAATTATCGACTGTTTGTTGTCAGGTTCGTAGTTGAGCGTTTTCTTGTTTTCCGGTCCATTGACCCCCTACAAACGCATCTAAGACATACTGTGCTTTGATAGAAGTGTTCACACCCCCGCTATGCAAATGTACTGCGGATGGTACTAAAGCTCACATGGAAGCATTTATTCACGCCATATCAGCCACAAGAGAGTACTAGCACTTTGGATTGGAACTACAATTATATAAACACAATAAAGTTAATGTTGACAATAAAAATTAGATAATGGATGTATAGGAATCTGGCAATCATTTCAGTCTTGTTCACTTAGTCAACTGCTTTCCGGGCACCGCAGTACCCGGGAACTGACCGATTCCCTGCTCTTCCGTTATTATTATAGCATTATTAAATAACCTTTACATGTACTTTCTACCAATGATTATGGATCGGACATAGTCTGTCGGGGTTAGGATTCTGAACTGCGACCGTACCCGCTTTGAAATACCCCATCTAGTGGACTCTGACCGTGTTCCCTCCTAACCGTAGTCTTATTTGTTTTCCTTTCCGGATTTGACCACCCTGGCATTGTTCCAGCTCGCATACATTCGTGGTTATCCCATCCGCTTCGAACTGGTCACCTTGTCTACTGCATACTACCGTGTTAAAAAAGAAAGCAGTTTTTTGCTATAACGTCTTTGTTTCACACAGTACAACATTTCAAACCCGTTAATTTATCCCATTTACTGGCAGTGTACCTTTCTCAACCGTGCTTCCATTTAGAAACTTTCTTGTAACGTATTTTCTGGGATGGCGGACAAATCTTTTGTCGGGTTGTCCTTCATCTCCTCTACATTTTGGAAACAACCTCCTTTCAGTGTGATTTTAGGAGAGGATATGGGAATGCATCGGCTGGGGCTAGGTCCAGATGATGCGATGGATGGAGCTGAGTGGGCATTTGATGTTTTGCTAGATAGCTGCACATAATGAGCGATGCGTTAGCCGACACATTGTCATGATCTAACGGCCAAGTCCGCACTAACACGGCACATCTCAGGTTTGTCACCCAGAAGTAGACGGCATAATCCTAATTTATACCCACTTCGTCAGCAACAGTTAGACGACGATTTCTAATGGTCACACATAAACAGTCGGTAGGGTTATCGTCTGTCGATTTGGAATGTTGTCCAAGGTTGGGATCCTCACTGCCCGACATTCTACCCCGGTTCAAAACGCCTAAACTACACAAATCACTACTCGAGACTTATATAGTCCTCTTCGTATGGTTGACTGATCAATTGAGATGTCTCCATAAATGGTTTACCAAGTTTGTAGCAAAAATGCACACACACGCAGTGTTCGTCAAGAGCTTACACTGTCACCTTGACAGTAATCTGACGAACAGCTTGTGCAGGGGCTCACTTCAGTGGTTTTAGCTCGCCAACAAACAATCAGAACGAAATGTAGCAAATGTCAGTTTGTTGTGTAAACATACTTCTACTTGCGCACTGTAGCCTCAGCGCGCTACCTCTGACGGTTTGGTTCGATATTTCACAAGTTCAACTTCTTCTTGAACACAGTAGTGCATGACGGGTGAGAGAAGGAAGTTTGTTGCAAACCCCTTTTTTATTCATCTTTTCCTTTCACACACTTCCAGATCCATATTACTGACTGTACTCCCCTTATCGTATGAATGGATGCGTGTTATATTTTTTCGTAATCTATCAAACATGGAATGTTCATGATAATCGGTGGATCAAATTTCTCTGCATATTGTCAAGTGCGTACTACAGAACACTTGTGAATTCAGAGCATCATGAAGAGTTAATGCAGTTGAGCTAACAAATTCACCAATATATGTACACATACACACACGCACATATGTCCTTGTCAATTCATCATGTCTACTGCGGTGGTTCTCAACGGTAGCGTTCCACCGGTTTGTAGCGCGAAAGTTCAAATTCGAATAATAGACGAAAAACGAATTATTCCCTTAAAATATGAGCTTAATATCCCATTTCCTGCAATAAACAATTATGTCACTGCTGAATTTCCACTTATACAATTGTTTAGTATGCAGTTAAATGGGAGAACACAATTTGGTGTATGAACGCAAATAAACGCTCCGTTGAGTTGAATAAAAATGGTAAAGGCGGGCATTTAAATGAATACCCTGCTGTCATAGTAAAAAAAAGTCTGGAGATGTATATGTCTGCACACCACTTAATAGACCTAAATGCTGCGCTCCCACAGCCGACATTTAAGAATTATGGCCGAAACCAGAAAGTTAAACTTACATGCAAAATCTCAGAAATCGTTCACTAAAACAAACATGTGTTTTCAGAAACTCGAGGAAAAATTCATACAATCAGCTGTTGTCCAGATTTTTGATGTTTATTAAAGGTGTCTTCACATCAATATGCAGAGAGAGTTGTCCGGAATTAGATAGTGCGGTGCTTCTTTGGTAACATTTTTTACTGAATTTATCATCGGGAAATAGTTGCTTCAATCGGTGCCTCATCGACGTTTTCTAGCTGCGCCGCCTTCAAACGCAAGGGGTGTCATTATGCCATTTGGCCGCTTGTTTTTGTAGCTGGTGGGTTGTTTCACGTGATCTTCTCGATTGTCTCACGAAACAACGCTATCTCACTCCATTTTCTACTAAGATTATCACCAGGATACCCTGCGTACTATGCATGACGTCGAAACATATGCTTACAACACTGGCAGTTGTCACGGTATCGGACGCGTGACATCCGGAGTGTCACGGAGTCTACTGGAATCCTTGAGAATTGACATTGACATTGTATACAATGCGGAATGGGAAGTAGAGTACATTCCACCATCTGACAGTGAAGCTTAGTTAAGTTAGTAGGCTCAAAAATCGTGAAAGCAACTTCTGCAGGCTGTCACTGAGTCAACTGGAAACAGCACCAATGGATTCATTCACATTAAAGTTTGCCGTCCTACTCGTCGGCTGGAGTACAGTTTAGTTGGCCTCCTGTCTACGCTTGATTCGCGATCACATAATCCCCGGAATCCGTTTCGAAGCTTGTTCACGTTTTTCAGCCTTTTTTCTCGATGGTTGTTCGTACTGTCACATGACCGATGAGGCCGTGTGTATTTTTACTATGCAGCATGCATTTGCGTCACCATTACTCGCATGGTTGCTCTAGGCTCTGCTAGACAACGATCACTGTCGAACTCCACCATTTGGTACTACGCGGTTCTCTCCGTTACCTGTGCATTTGCTCCGTTCCATTTTCAAGTATCGTCTGACTATTTGTCGTGTACCTTCAGTATTTTGCGCGTTTGGTTGATATCCCTGCGTAACAATTTGCTGACATGGAGAACACTTAGAAGACACAGTTAGAGAGCTAAGTCATTTGGACACATGTCACTCACCCACTCCAACTTCTGCTAAGGTTTCCCTCTTCCTCTTTAGGAATCTAGTTTCTGTCATTTTGCGATCACTGAAGGTTATCTCACTTTCTTTTCGTTTGCTGTTGTAACCATTGCCTCATTTTAGTACAAATGACTGCTTGACTAACTCAGAAGCGAATCTCACCAGCTTTGCTTCATACCGTTCGCATTTCACATGTTATTCTCTTTTTGCGTTCTGTTCGATTCCAACTTCCTATTCGTTTTCCTGGTTCTTGTGCACATTGCGATCCCAAGCCTTTGGTTTACACAAACTCCCACCTGTCTTCCATTATTCTCAATTTGTTCAAATTGTTTCTAGTCATCCTCGCAGGCTTATTTGGTTATTCAGCGCTTGATTTATTATTTTTTTCACCTAAACGACCCATCGACCGCAGAAAATGTCACTACCCTCATCATTCACTGTATGTGTAAGATCCTCACCTTTGAACCTATAAACTTTCAACTCCGATAATGTCGTTCATCCTACCTAGCTACCAGTTGCATTTGAGCATCATCTCCGTTAGCCGTAATTACGCACATCAGTTTTAGGGTTTCCCTGACTCAGCCGTACTTGTCTTTCTAATGCGAAGTGAAACGAGCGGAAAAGGGACGATGACGACGACGACGACTTAAATGTCCTGATCGAAGATTCAGAATCTATATGCCTATACTAGACCAACAGTGCCGTTACAAGTCCCAATTGTCTTGAAGAAACTACGTTGATGATACAATTTCGTCATGGTTTTTCTGACCTCGTTTTGTGAGCATCCTTTTCAATAGACAGCGGAATTTGTTGCTCCAACTGATATGGTTTTGCACAACGATTGCGGACCATGTTCCATAATGTTTTCAGAGACATTGAAAAACAAACAGCCGGTTCATCTGTGTTGAGTGACGTTTCGCTTCTATCATGGAAACCACGTCAAATCGGGTACACCAGTATGTAATCGGTTCGTTATTTTATAACGAACGAGGGCAATAATTGCGCTAACGGAAACACGGGTCATAGGCTTATCGTTTCCAATGATTTTAAAACTGTGGTTTATTCTGTCAAGTCGAGGCATATTTCACGATTTTCATTAAAGTTATGAAATGCGTTCTAAGGCTGTCAAATGAATTCTTTTGATTGATAGGTCCTGAAGCGAACCGAGGAATCGTCTTGTTCTAAACACGAGGTGTTGTAGCACTTGTATGGTGATGTATCTTACTATTCTGGTAAGTAATACAGTGTTTCATCCGCTGCTTGATATCAGAGCGCATGCTGGGCCAGGTAGCGATCCGTGATCAGCTTGATAATGGTGCGGATGCTCGGATGGGAAATTCCGTGCAAGTGGTCCAACACAATTCGCCGATACTGTTGCCGAACGAACGGTCGAGGCTTTCCAGTGGATATATCACAGTGAATTCGGGAGCCCGAGTTGAGAACAGGCAGCTTAGAAAGTTTAATAGAGGGATTTGATTTCAACTGCTCAAAATCAGGATCTGTTTTTTGATTGGCAGCCATGTCTTCTTGGCTGATTGCTTGGCGCGAAACCACGTACAGACCAATGCGGGACATACTGTCGGCTACAACGTTGTGAGCTGCATCAATGTGTCGAATGTCGGTAGTAAAGTATGGTATG